CGCCCCCGGCTGGCAGAGGGCAATGAGCAGGTTCTGATCGCCGACTTTTCGTAGTCTGCCTCAGTCCCCCCAACAGCCTGCGCGGCCCTTGGTAACCCGGACGACGACCGAGCCGGTGTAATTTTCGATTGCGTCAATGCCATGAGTGGCAGGTGGCTGAATTTTACGGAGACTTGCCACGGTCTCCAACCCTCCTCCTTTTCTCATCCGGGCTTGGGACCGGCCATGGCGGAGTTATGATAGATGATATGAAGGTAAAAGTCAGGCATCTGGTACAGATGATCAGTCATTGATACCATGACATAGAATCAGTCTAGCGACGGAAGCCTGTGCGCTAAAGCACTGAAGTTGCACATTCATCGAAATGGAATTGTAATGAGAAATTCAATGGTTTAACAACGATATCACTCACAGAGAGAATTTCCCTGATGCATAACATGAGGAGCTGAATCACGCAATTCATGCAGATGACCACCGTCCAGTTATACAGATTCAGTGTGGCGGCTGAAGGGCCAAGACCTGACACCAACCAGTGGTCTACGCCTCAATGGCTACGCCAGAACGTCCTATCACGCAATCAGATTACCTTCAGATATATTGCCACTGGGAACTAAACAGAAATTCGATGATATCTGCAGGTATTTTGAGATCCTCGATTTGTGACAGATTTCTAACTGACTAATCACAGCCAAAGATGGAAAACTTCTGTGCGATATTGCCCGCATTGATTCTATCACTCGCCGGTGTGTTTCATATTTAAAACAAACAGGTTGCTTTCATTTTTATTTTTTCTTTCATTCTTCCACTTCCTGGAGATGAAATCTACTTCGTAGACTTTAATGGCAATGCAACTTTGAGCCTCGAACTGATATGTCAATTTTCTAACACATTTTCGTTCAGCATTTACCAAAGTTCCTGAAGTTAGGTGCGATCTTGCCGCCTGGACCAAAAATGTTAGTCAACTTCTACCATGTGCCCACATAGTAAAAGAAGGTCAAACAAGGATCATGGTATTTTATTTATTGGTATTTATATGCCTTGTATTGATTTATTTTTGATATAATGCGTCAAAATATTAATTTCCATTACTATTAATTATGTTAAGCTCATGTTTGAACGAAATGACTTCCAGCAGTGCTTCGGGTGTTTAGTACCTTCTGATCATAGTAGATTCAAACATCATCCACTGTTCAGAAGCAGAAATGTCTCTTTCATGATCAATATCGACGATATACTTTCTACTTCAATTCAGGCTGTACGCAGCGTGTCTTTCTTCAAACAAATTTGCCGTAAAGGCATCAAGTGATTCGGACATTGTCCTGGTACATAGCAATTCTTCATTACAACTTTCTACAGATGATGTATTTAAAAGGAAGAGTAACGACGATAATTAATACTAAATGATGGCTTAGCAATTTACGAATTGTTTCGATGAAATTTTAGTGGTCAGATCGAGCGAATCTGTTGGCTGTCAGTTCTCATATCGAACTTCGAATATATAAAGAACAACCAATATGTTGCCATGCGAATTCTGAGGTATTTTGCTCATTAAATTTTGAGGTTAAAATTTCGGTTCTAATGTAGGATTTGGTTTCAGTTCATCGCTGTTCAAACCGGACCTTTCAAAATCATGGTTTATAACTGCAACGCAGGAACGACCAGCGAATGTATGTTCGACATCGATGTTCGATCAGTTTTCATCACCGGTCAATACCTGCTTTGCTGTTGCGGTTCGATGCTCATCATCAAGGAGATTCTTAACCCGGATGATTTTAGCCAAATAGGTGACTTTGCACATTTTCATTTTAACAGACTTTAATAATTTTTTCCTCCAGCATCGATCAACGTCAGTTCCAGCGTATTTGCGGCAGAGAAGCACAAGGTTTTCGTCGGGTTACCAAAAAAAGTGTTGCAATACACTTTTCAGGTGAAGCACATTTGCATGTATGGGTGCGGCAGAAGGTTAGTTGCATAAGGAAGACTAAACATTTAGTTATTTCAGTTAGGTCAGTTGTTTTTTGTTCAACTAAGTGTAATAATGTGAATAATCGTGCCACGTCGCACTTCCGCTTAAACTATAAACAATAATTGAGCAAGCGTTAATTTTTTCAATCTCATCAAATCAAGATTTTATGCCTCTTGCTGATTTTTTTGCTATTATTTGCCTAGGAGGCAGTCTCAACAAATCACGCCTCCCACTTGCGTGAATATCTGCTGGGCTGTACGCATCTCCGATTATTTTATCGGCTAAGGCAATCCCTTGCTGATCACGAATGGCGTTTTCAAATAAATCATGAATCTTAAATATCACATGATACTCATACACTAGACATAATCCAGGATGATATACGTAGAAAGATATACTATCATTAGATATGCTATCACATATGCTACTGTCTGAACAACAGACTTCTTATAATAATTGCACATGAGTATGTGATCAAGAGTACGAAGTCAATGCTGAAATATGAGGTAAAAACCGTAATATATTACTCATGCCATTCAATTCCATTGTTTAAGGAAATATATTGATAATCATAATATGTCAGCTTTCTGATGATCCATGGGAAAGAGAAGACGAAGGATAAAGTGTTTCCGTCAGATATCAAAAGATGGTCTACATCTCTCACTGCCAGCAAACGTTCGACGCAGTTGTTCTTTAAATAGTACAAATGGTTGCTCCTTTAAAACAGCTTGAGAGCTCTGACTTATTATCAGCTTTATCACATTTCCAGGCTGCCCAAGATTTCTTCAGGACTTGCCTCTAGCAGCTGAAAGGACTACCTAAACAGGTCGTGTCTCCATTGCGTTGAAGAAATTATAGCACACTGGTGCAAAACCGTATCCCTGCAGTCGCACAACCTTCATGAAGTACCAGCGAATAACGCTTTTATGTTTGAGTGCATTCATGCGAGAGCGAGAAAAATACCTCCACTGACTGTATCCCCAGGGTCTCCCTCCATAATAGTGTTCGACAGCGAATCGCACT